AGGTTTATCAGGCAATTTATTGGAGTATGACAGATGCAGCTGAAAGGGCATGGCGTGGGAGACTGAGAAGAGCCAGCCAGGGTTGGCCTCCACACAGCCGAGCCCTGTCACAGACACAGGGAAGTGGCTGGGAGTCCACCTCTGAAGTGGCTTCTGCTTTGCTACACAGAGGCTAGACTATAGAGGCTATGCTCCTCTCTGTGGCAGTGCCGGTAGGTTGGCTGAAGAGGAAAGTCATGGGTAAGGGCTGGGGCTTCTCCCAAAGTGAGGGAGGAGTGAGCAAGTGACAGCCATGGCCCTGTAAGACCCTGGAAAAGCAATGGAGACAGTTGCTGGCCACTAGCAGAGAAGCCATGGGTCAGGTGAGAGGGAGCTCCCAAGCTTTGGGGTGATAACAGCCCACTCAGCAGCTGGACTTCTGTCCCGAGGAGAGGCCACAGCAGGCCTGGCTGGAGCAGGCAGGGCGGCAGAGCAGGGACATGCTGGAGCAGGGCTTGCAGCAGCTGGGCTGGCAGGAGGAGGCACAGCAGGAGGAGGTGGGCACACAGCAGGCTGGTCTGCACACAGGGCGGCAGAGCAGGGACACACTGGAGCAGGGCTTGCAGCACACAGGCTTGCAGCAGACAGGCACACAGCAGGAGGATTGACAGCATGAGGGCTGGCAGCTAGACTGCTGGCAGCATGAGGAGGATCCAGAGCAGATGGGTGTGCAGCAGACAGGCTTGCAGCAGACAGGCACACAGCAAGAAGATTGACAGCATGAGGGCTGGCAGCTAGACTGCTGGCAGCATGGGGAGGATCCAGAGCAGATGGGTGTGCAGCAGACAGGCTTGCAGCAAAGAGTCACACAGCAGGACTGTTGGCAGGGGGAACAGGTGTAGCAAGCTGGCTGGCAGCTAGACTGCTGGCAGCATGAGGGTGTGCAGCAGGCAGATTGACAGCAGGGGCTGGACACACAGCTCACTGGGGTGCAGATGAGGGTTAGGCAGGGGGCTGGGGTACAGCAGCTGGGCTGGCAGCAGCTGGGGACACAGCAGCTGGGCTGGCAGCAGCTGGGCTGGCAGCAGCTGGGGACACAGCAGCTGGGCTCACAGCAGCTCTCTGGGCAGTCATCCACCTGCCAGGAGGAGTTGGTGCAAGCGTCAGAGCAGACAGACATGGTGGAGGCGGCCATGGTGGAAGCTGGTGTAGAGTAGAGTGAATGAGTGAGTGAGTGAACGAGTGTTGAGTGTGAGTGCTTGTGAGGTGCTGGACCATCAGCTTTTATCCCCCTGTGCTGTTGTGGGGCTTGGCCTCCCTTCCTTGTTGGTGTGGCTCGTGGCCATCATTAGGGTGTTTGTTTGTCTGGGATGTTGATGTCAGACTTTCTTGTCCTGCCAGCGGGTGATCCTGGGAACAGTGGTGGAGTAGTTAGGCAAGGCTCCATGAGCAGTGAGGTTGGAGTGTTGTTGGTGGGACTTGTCTCAACCACCCTATGGCTGCAGGGATGTTATCCAGATGTGGCCAGCTGTCAGAATGCCCATCTATTCTCAAGTAATAGATGCCCCCAACCCAGTACTCCTCCCATAGCCCAACTCTGGGTGAGGACAGTTGTCACTTCAGAACAGTGCCAAGACCAGAGATATACAATGACATGTCTAGAGCCATTGAGTTGAGGGTGCAGTGACTGCCTGTAACTACTACCCCTATAGTGTCTTCTTAGCTCCTGTACCTCTTTGTATTGCCTCATTGTCTACCATTCTCTGCACGTATTTCTACCCTATCTTTGTGCTTAGGGATGCAGGATAATGAGTTTGGTTCCTACATACTCAAGAAGGCCAGAAGTTCTGGCCTTGGGTGTTTCTATCCCCAAGGAGGTTCATGATCTGTTGAAACCATTGGAACACCACATGGGCCAGGAACCTGGGCAACTTTCTGTCTCACTGCTCAGGACTCTCCAGCCATCCCTTGTCCACTGCATCCTCCTCCAAAGCTGCTAACATTCCTCATCAGCCTTTCCGTCCACTAGTCACCCAGCCTTGCCACCCAAGCACTGAGATATGTGTCTATCTACAGCCACTGATTTTAAGTTAGGTCACATATGTCTACAGAGCCCAGTATAGAAGATGCATCTAGAAATTAGGCTGTGTGTCATCTGAAGCCAGTGCTGGCCAGTGTCCCTGGGAAGCAGCTGCCTCCATGCCCTCCATTTTCACCTCTCTGTCTCGCTACACATATGCACACATACATGGATTTAGAACCCATTCTCCTCATCCTAGTGGTTGTGAAGCAGGTCAGTTGCAGCTGGGGTTCACACAGGGTCAGTCTCCCATGAGTCTCTGGTCACCACATGTGCTACATACATGGGAGCTTGTCTGATCTATGGTCATCACATGTATCACATGGGAGCTTGTCTGATGTGCATCTGTCTAAAGGGTCCTTGAGCCATCCACATGGCAGATTCATTACCACTGGCCTCACACCAGCAGCCGAGCTTGTGGACTCTGTGGAGTGCCCTGTAGTACTAATGTCACAGCACATGGTGGTTCGGGGGCATTTCCTAGCAAGAGGACAACACAACCCTAGAAAACTCGGCACCAAGGAGACCCAGTGAGACTTGTTTTCAGGGTTAGTCAAAACCAGAAGGCAGAGCCTTATTATTATCTCATCCTACCCAGCTAGGAGCATGTAACTTAAGATTCCCTGCTCTGTGTGTGTTCATGGCCACAGAGAGATCACAAGTAGATTTGGGAATGCAGATAAGTGTAAGAAAGTAAAATTAAACAGAATCCATAAATGGTGGGCACTGACTCTTTGCCTATCCATCCACCCATCTGTCCATTCATCTACCCACTCATCTACAAACATACCTAATCATCTATCCATCCATCCATCTATCCACCCACCCACTCATCCACTCAACGTACCTAATCATCCATCCATCCATCCATCCACCCATCCACTTATCCACACACCTACCTAATCATCTATTCATCCATCTGTTCATCCATCCACCCACTCATCTACATACATACCTAATCATCTATCCATCTATCTGTCCATCTATCCATCCATCTACTCACCCACACACCTCACACCTACTTAATCATCTATTCATCCATCTGTAAATCTATCCATCCATCCATTCATCTGCTCACTCATCCATTTATCCAGCTATTTATCCATCCATCCATTCATCCACCAACCCACCCACCTATCTTATTACTCACTCATCCACCACTAACATATTCATCCTGTCATCCACCCACCCACCTACCCACTCACTCATCTATCTATCTATCTATCTACCTACCTACCTACCTACCTATCTGCTCATCCACCCACTGATGCATCCATCCATCCACCACCCACTCATCTATATACTTATTCCCTCATCCACTCTATACATTCATTCACCCCCACCATCAATCTATTCATCTAACAACCATCCTTACATCATTCCATTCACTCACCCACCGCCCATCCATTTATCCACTTACCTATCCACTATCCTATCCATTCATATACTCATTCACCTACAAACTCATGTACCTATCCATTTATCTATCTACCCAACTACCCATCTACCCACTTATCCATATATCCACCAACCCATTGGTGGATCCATTGACTAACCCAGCCAATCCACCTACCAGACCACTCATCCATCCTCCCATGTGTCCATCCATCTTACCTACTCATGCATCCACTTACCCCCATATCCATCCATCCATCCACTCACCTATATACTAGCCCATCCATCTACTTGCTCATTTATCTGCCCACTAACCATCCATCCACTCATCCATCTACTTATCCATTTGTCTTTCCACCCATCATTATATCTATCTATCTATCTATCTATCTATCTATCCATCCATCCATCCATCCATCCATCCATCCATTTGTCTGTCCGCCCATCATTATATCTATCTATCCATCCATCTTCTATGTATGCATATAATATGTATATGTAGACAAAAATATGTCTCTGTGTTTCTATGGTTTACCAATACAAACTGTTTCATAACTAACCCACAACATTTTTTTTAATCTTAATTTAAGAAGCTCCTTTTTGGTGACTTTATAAAGTTTTGTCTCATTTACAGCTGATAGAGTTGTAGTTTGGGCCATTTGTATGGTTCAAAACACATATTTGCTGCACAATACATATATTGGGAATCTGTTATAGCAGAACCTGGCTTGGCAGAACTGTGCCAAAGCATCCCTAATGAATCCATTGGGCAGATGCCCTTCCCACTCATGTGGCCACTGAGACACTTAAGGCCGAGTGCCTCAGATTCTCTTAGGCTGTGGAGCCTCATCCTTAGGCAGCTCTCTCTATGGACAGCTTGTGAGATGTGGCTTTTTCCAAGCATGGGAGGTTCTCTTAACATGTCAGCATCCTCAGTGCAGCTGCTGGCCTTTGCTATGGGGCATGGCCCACCACACTGCAAGGTGGGGAGCACCATGCACTTGAACATAGGGGTAGGGACACAGGGTCACCACAATCTGTTACTTGAACAACATCACTCTTGGCTTTGCACACACTACATACTGACCCTCAGAGACTTTCTGCACTGAGAAGTGATTCTAGAAACATGACCCACAGAGCCCTCATGACCTGGACCCTCTTGCCTGGCTCCCTCAGCCCCACTAGTCAGACAGCTGAGTCTTCCAGGAAGCCTACGGCTATCTCTGCTGTTGTCCTAGGGAGTGGAGATGTGGGGGCTTCCCTTACAGTCACAGCCTCTGAGGTGCCAGTTTGCAAAAATGCATCCTGTCCATCTCAATGTGGGACCACCCAGAGATGGGGAAGACCAGCAGATTTGCATTTACTCAGGATGTTTACAAGGCGAGTGACAGCTCAAGCTAAACAAGGAACAGTGTTAATGAGGCTGCTGGGTCACCAAACAAGGAAGGTGAGAGCCTCAAAGGGGAATAAAAGCTGAGGGTTCAGCACCTCACATACATACACACTCACACACACTCAAACACACACCCCTCCATCCAACCCCACCATGGCCGCCTCCACCATGTCTGTCTGCTCTGATGCTTGCACCAACTCCTCCTGGCAGGTAGATGACTGCCCAGAGAGCTGCTGTGAGCCCAGCTGCTGCCAGCCCAGCTGCTGCCAGCCCAGCTGCTGCCAGCCCAGCTGCTGCCAGCCCAGCTGCTGCCAGCCCAGCTGCTGTGTCCCCAGCTGCTGCCAGCCCAGCTGCTGTACCCCAGCCCCCTGCATTACTCTTGTCTGCACCCCAGTGAGCTGTGTGTCCAGCCCTTGCTGCCAATCTGTCTGCTGCAGCTCCTGCACACCCTCATGCTGCCAGCAGTCTAGCTGCCAGCCAGCTTGTTGCACCTGCTCCCCCGGCCAGCAGTCCTGCTGTGTGACCCTGTGCTGCAAGCCTGTCTGCTGCACACCCATCTGCTCTGGATCCTCCTCATGCTGCCAGCAGTCTAGCTGCCAGCCCTCATGCTGTCAATCCTCCTGCTGTGTGCCTGTCTGCTGCAAGCCTGTGTGTTGCAAGCCCTGCTCCAGCGTGTCCCTGCTCTGCCGCCCTGTGTGCAGACCAGCCTGCTGTGTGCCCACCTCCTCCTGCTGTGCCCCCTCCTGCCAGCCCAGCTGCTGCAAGCCCTGCTCCAGCATGTCCCTGCTCTGCCGCCCTGCCTGCTCCAGCCAGGCCTGCTGTGGCCTCTCCTCGGGACAGAAGTCCAGCTGCTGATGACCTGTCCCTGTGAGAGTATTTCCTGTATCCACAGTGAGTGCCAAAGAATCAGAGCTCACAGAAGAATGTCCATGTTCCATGCTCTGTGTATCAGGGCAGACCATGGCAGTGCCCTCCTCTCTCTGCCTCTGCCCTTTCCAGGTCAAGCATTCTCACCTCATTGGAACTGTCCCTTCTCTGAATACACTTGAACCTTCTGAAAAATAAAAACCCTGACTGAACCTGTGGAGACTCCCATGGTCCTCATTGGCATCTCACGATTCCTCCTTTGCAACCAGCGATCTGTGCTTTGGAGCCTATCTGTGCTAATTCAGGGGACAGTTCCCTCTGTCCCCTTGCTTTGTAACTGTGCCTCCTCTGTATGGTGCCAATAAAACCTGAACAGGTACTTCCATGAGCAACTCAGGTGCCTCCTCCCAGAGTTTGCCAAGTCCCACCTCGGCTCATTTGCAGCCTGCCATTGTCCCCTGTTCAGTGGTGCAAGTGTGTGCTAACTGGTATCAGGTCTGGGCTATGGGCCTCGTGAGCAGACATGTCCCTACCTCTAGACTTCACTTGGTTCTAAATGCAGAGACCTTTAATATGTGGGTGTGATTGGAGTGGATGGGGCACACAGGCCAGGCACACTGGTGGAACACACTCAGGAGTCTGCTATACCTTCAGTACCGAGAGCCTCGTTTCTGAGAGGGATGTGTTGGCAGGCCAGGGTGGTCTTGACTGCGCCAGTGACCATCCAGTGAACTCAGCTTGCAGAAGGTGAGGGTGAGAAGTGGTACCCCATATTGAAGCTCTAGTTCTGAGACAGGCAGGTGTCTTGGCAGCAGGCGTCCATGTGCCTCGCACCAGCCACAAGCTCAGTGTGTGGCTCACAGCACCTGGGACCAGACGACAAACAGCGTTTGAGCCTGTTCTATGGGAAATGCCCCTGCCTTCCCTGTCACTGGGGAGAGGACACCACCCTGGTCCAGGTGCTAATCATTTGTAGAAGGCCACATAAAAAGGAAGGAGTTGCTATAGACATGGAGGACATTGCGCACTCTGACACGTCACATCCTCTTGCAGCCGCTGGTTCACACAAGTCAAACTTTCTCCTGAGTGCTTCCTTCATTCAGTGAGGCTTCTGTTTAGACTCCTAATCAGTCAGCAACAGCACAGGGTTAGTGCCTGGTGCGGCTGTGGGTTCCCAGAGGCCTGCCCTCTGCCTACACTCTGAGAGGAAGCAGTCTGTAGAGGTAGCATGGGTAGACATCTGCAGCCGTCCAAGGTCTTTGAGAGCCTGTGGCAGAATGGCAGTGGCTTTATCTCTTTCCTTGCAAACGTGAGGTTAGCAGCCAACCCCCTACTTCATGCTCTTATCATGACAAGCCACTTGACCACAGTCTGAAAGCCTCAGGCTAGCCCACTATGGACTGACACCTCCAAAACTACAAACCCAAAGAAACCAGTGATCTCAAGTGTTATTTATAGTGACAGACAGGTATCTTGTGCCCTGAGGCCTTCTCTAGTCTCCCTTTCAGCTTGCTATGTCCTGAAGTCATAACTCACCTCCTGTGACTGTGATGGTTACTAGACATAGGCTGGGGGAGAGGCGCTGGCCTGGGAACTCTCCATTGCTGTAATCCCCAGGTGAGGGATGTCACACTGCCCTGCCCCCTCTGAGCTTCACCCAGGGACAACTTTGACCTAGGGGTTAATTATAAGCAGAAACATTACCTCATTTTGTTTTCACTCCCCATCTTTTTTATTATTATGATACATCTTCACTCAATACAATTAACTACCAGATGAGACAATAGGCTCACCCTGTTTGCTCAGTGACAGAGCTCAGCAGTAGTGGGCTTGGAGAACAGGGTACCACATCATCTGACCTTCCCCACACAGAATCCACTGAGCTCCACTGAGGGGCCTGATCAGGACTTGAACTCTTCCATAAGTCTGTGTGGATTGAGCTGCGTGGGATAGGACTGGTGCTGCCTCCCTAGGGACCCAGAGCCCTGGGGTAGAGATAGGGGTAGCAGGGAGGGCTGAGGCTTCTTGTGCCTGCCCAGATCTTATGTCAGGTTTCCTTCTGGGGAGGTGCTTGCTACATAGACCAGGCCTGAGCAGTAGTGAGTCAGGCGAGGTAGTGGTGGGTCAGAGAAAGATTCTGAGAAGTCACAGAGGGAAGCACACTTAGGACTGGAGAGTATCCTGTCCTTAAGCATGAGGGATGGACTCACTGTAATTCATGGCCTTGCATGTTCTCTCATCCTAGAAATTGTAAAGATGGGTAGCCACTGTACACACACACACACACACACACACACACACACACACACACACACACACGTCACAGTGTGCCAGGAGGACCCTGATCCTACAGGAAGGGAAGGCTAAATCAGCCCACATCATCTGTGCACAGCCTTGGACCCAGACCAGAGTATAGCACTGGCTGCCACTGCAAGTGTCTTTCTTGAGCTGGAAAGGTGGATAGCAGAGCTCAGGGGGCTCTAGCTCAGTGGACGTGCTGAGTGAGGCACAGGAGAGCAGGGTTTGGTATAGTGTGGAGTGCTCTATGTCCTGAGACTGGGTATTATTAATGAGAGCAGATGCCAGGGCCACCATAGGATGGAGACAGCCAGAGCAGAGGACCAACCCCAGGGCTAAAAGCGTTAGGTCTACATGGAGAAGCAGCTCCATGCCCTGGTCATGGTGTTGACCATGCCCTCAAGCTCAAACTCTGTGGTTAACCCCATCAGAATGTTACCAACAGGGACCCATGAGAGCTCACAGCAGTGTCCCACCCCCAGGAAAGTGACAGCACCCTTCAATGAACCCATGGAACAGGACAGCACACTCAGACCATGGCAGGAAATAATCTACAGAACAGGCCAGCACAGTCCAGGATGGAAGCAAGAGACAAAAACCAGAATGGCAGAGCCAGTGACATTAGCAGACAGAGAGTACAATCATGGCATTAATGATGTGTAAAGACCCACACCAAAAGCAGGAGTCTGATGAGGAGAGATCAAGAACAAAATAGATGCCAAGAGCGGAAAACAGAAGAGCAGCGAGAAAACCCTGAAATGACCAAAGTTGACATAACATGGAAAAGCCTTGCGTCCCTCAAGAGAGGGACATCGAGGCATGTGTAAAGAGGTCTGTGGAGGCAGAGTTGAAGGTAAGGCAGAGCAGGAGTCACAAGCACAGCATTGAGCAGCCTGACACATGTGAACCATTAGTATGAGAGGAAAGGCTGGGCCAGGGACTGAGAAAAGAGGAAGTGCCGAACAGTTTTCCAAATCTGAAATAACACTGATGAGAACACAGAAAACTTGACATCTAAGCAATGTTCTATCCAACAACAGTGGAAAACTTTATTTAATCATACATGAACACACACCAAAATAAGCCACCTCCTCAGCACTGTGAGCCACAGCCTCAAGAACTAAAATCCAGACTGTGTCCAGGCCTCAGCAGAACAAGGAGTCACCCACGGGAGAGCTGGGAGACTGCAAGCATGTGGAAATTAAGAGAAAGTGTAAAAGTAGTCCATGAACCAAAGATAAAATCACCATGGGGATTAGAATGTATTTTGAGCAAAATGAAATCCCACATTGCAGTCTGAGTTCAAGCTAACACAACGTGTAAGGAGTGGTGCTCTGTGATTCTTCTTGGTAAACAAGGGAGGCCAGGAGTCTGTGCTTTAACTCAGAGCTAAAGATGAAGCACAAGTGACCCCCCCCCAAATAACCAGCTACATGAAGGCTGTGAGCAGTGGGAACAGACAGCTCCAAGAGGAAACAGCCAAGACCAGGCCCTTGAATTTTGGGGATGACTAAATGCACACTTCTAGTTAGCTTAACTAGTCAAGAAAAAGGAAGAAGTAATAAATGACCCATATTAGGAATGGAAAGGGTTATTACCCCAGAGTCTGTGAACACCAAAGGGACAATGCAGAAGGCAATGGCCTCACGTGGACATACCCAACAGTGTAAAGGAAACAACCAAACCATTGGAAAGACAGTCTGCAAAACTAACAAGAGGAAAAGAAAAGATCAGAGCAGCCCTGTAGCAGGCAAAGGGATTGAAGCCTTAACTAAAAATACAGTATAAGAAAAACACTGATTTCAAGAAACCTTCTTTATGGGAGAAATGGCACCAATCTCCCTGTGCGTAAGAACACAAGGATGGATGAGAAACACTTGCACGTGTGTGTACATGTGCACATACACAACACACAACACACACACACACTTCATGAAATGAATTATATTTCTAGATAATTGCATGCAGTCAAATGTAAGAGAGTAGGGTATAGTGGTGCACACCTTTAATCTTACCATCAGGATACAGAGGCAGGTGGATCTGTATGATTTCAAGGCTAGCCTGGTCTACATAGCCACTTCCAGACTAGCCTGGGATGTATAGTGAGACCCTGTCTCAAAAACAAACAAACAAACAAACAAACAAAAACCCAATAAAACAAAACAATGTTAAATGTCTGATCCTCCCTAAGTGAGCTATGAATTTAATGAAACCGAAGTCAAAAGCCCAGTAAGTTTGATGGGCTGGTTCCAAAATCTCTGGGTGGGATGCATAGATGACCCAGAATAACCAACCAAACCTGAAGAAGGCAGAGACAAATCAGAGAACTTCCATTATTTGACTCCAAGACTGCCTCAACCCCAAACAGTCCACAATCTCCCAAAACAACACTACAAGCCAGGGACCCAGTGTTCAAACACTGGTGGGTGGGGGCATTTCACAATCAACCCTCAGCAGGAGCCTAGAATGAGTTTGTGTGGTTCTGAGAAACACTGATCAAGGAGGGTCACTGAAGACAAAGGGCTTTGCTGAAATTAAGGATTAGGCTCACCACCGAAGAAAATGAGAGAGAGAGAGCTGGTGGCACACTCCTTTAATCCCAGCACTCAGGAGGCAGAGGCAGTTCGAGGCCAGCCTGTTCTAGGACAGCATCCAAAGCCACAGAGAAAAATCAAATAAATAAATAAATGAAAAT